GGGTATCAGTGCCCCAGAATCACGCTGGCTCCACTCTTCTGAGCCGTGTGTGTGTGTGTGTGTGTGTGTGTGTGTGTGTGTGTGTGTGTGTGTGTGTGTGTGTGTGTGTGTGTGTGTGTGTGTGGAGAGCTGGAGGCGGCACCCGCAGTCACAACATGTGTGGTGAGTGCCACCACAGGTGCTGAACAAACAGACGGCTGGGCACACACACACATGCAGAACAACACACACACACACACACACACACACACACACACACACACACACACACACACACACACACACACACACATGCAGAACAACACACACCTGCACACACGGACACATTTAGCGCATCAAAACATGTACCCACGTAAATAATTCTAGACTTTATGTAATTATAGCAACATTTATCACAGAGAAGAAAGATGGCAGCGGCGCGCGCCTGATTACAAGGGGGCTCCATCAACAAGAAGTGAGCGTGAATTAAGCGACTGATCTTGCTTATCAAAACTAAGAGGAAAGACTGAAGGATCTGGCTATCACCGCACGGGTGGAGCAGGAGGAATAAAGGGGACGTGACAACGACATTTAAGATTCTAACTGGAATTGATTGAATAGAAACAAAAAATCAAAACTTAGAACGGCAGAACGAGGGAACATAGATGGAACTAGAGACACAAAGGACTCACGGAGATAAAAAAAAATTCTTCAGTAGAAGAATTATAAATAACTGGAATAGATGAGGTGAAAGGGAACTCAATACACAGTTGTTGATGTAAATATGATAAAAAGACAGAAACTGAATCATTGCATTACATTAAGGCGTTAATAAGGCGGGGACCAGGAGTCTAACTCGTCTCTGCACATTTAGCTGAGCGCACACACACAGGTTTCGAGGCTGAGTGGACAGCGGTTGCGGGTCGTAGTCCTAAGGACCCGGATTCGATTCCCGGCCGAGGCGGAAACAATCTTTCAGTGTTTCTTTCACCCTGATGCGCCTGTTCACCTAGCAGTAAATAGGTATCTGGGAGTTAGACAGCTGTTGCGGGCTGCTTCTTGATATGGGTGAGCGAGCGTGTGTAAGATAAATATATGTAGTAGACATAATAGAGGAAAAATATATTTGGTTAGAAAGGCGGAGTCCAAGAGCTAATAGCTCGATTCTGCAGATACAAATAGTAAATACATACACACACACACCACTAATAATTAAACATGAAAATTATTAGGGCAAAAAGTGGACTTACGACGCAGACATTCCCTTGTGCAACACCATCTGAAGTATTACCAAGATGGATACCACCACCAAGACGGACAGCATAACTAATAAACCAACCTATCCTCCCCGCACCATAAACTAACTTAGCGACCTAACCTAACTATCCGCTACTATTCTTAAACAGCCTAGTGCGGGTGTAACCAGCCCTGAGTGAGTAATTAACAGGATCAATATCACATGTAAATTTAATTAAGCACTGACTAATTGATAAACGATAAATGAGAAAAAAAAAACGATCTATTAGGCATGACTGAGCCTACCTAAAATTAGATGTGAAATTATCAGAAATTTCACCTTTTTTAAATCATTTTTCTTAATTAGCATAGAAACCTGTCTCTACTGAGATTTAAAAATTAATAATTAATCACTATTTTTTATTTAAAAAATGCTTAGATATGACGATTTTTTGTGATTTTTGTTTCCTTAGATTTAAATTTCTTTGTAAGTCTCACCAAACAGACTTTTCTCTAACCTTGTTTAGCATAATGGATCAGAAAAGTTAAAATTTCGACTATTTGACATACAAGGAGTCCTATTGTAATGGCGTTATTAAGGTCCTGTTAATGACATTATTATGGTCCTGTTAATGGAATTATTATGGTCCTGTTAATGACATTATTGTGGTCCTGTTAATGGCATTATTGTGGTCCTGTTAATGGCATTATTATGGTCCTGTTAATGGCATTATTGTGGTCCTGTTAATGACATTATTGTGGTCCTGTTAATGGCATTATTGTGGTCCTGTTAATGGCATTATTGTGGTCCTGTTAATGACATTATTATGGTCCTGTTAATGGCATTATTGTGGTCCTGTTAATGGTATTATTATGGTCCTGTTAATGGCATTATTGTGGTCCTGTTAATGGCATTATTGTGGTCCTGTTAATGACATTATTATGGTCCTGTTAATGGCATTATTGTGGTCCTGTTAATGGCATTATTATGGTCCTGTTAATGGCATTATTGTGGTCCTGTTAATGACATTATTATGGTCCTGTTAATGGCATTATTGTGGTCCTGTTAATGGCATTATTATGGTCCTGTTAATGGCATTATTATGGTCCTGTTAATGACATTATTATGGTCCTGTTAATGACATTATTATGGTCCTGTTAATGACATTATTGTGGTCCTGTTAATGGCATTATTATGGTCCTGTTAATGGCATTATTGTGGTCCTGTTAATGGCATTATTGTGGTCCTGTTAATGACATTATTATGGTCCTGTTAATGGCATTATTGTGGTCCTGTTAATGGTATTATTATGGTCCTGTTAATGGTATTATTATGGTCCTGTTAATGACATTATTATGGTCCTGTTAATGACATTATTATGGTCCTGTTAATGACATTATTATGGTCCTGTTAATGGCATTATTGTGGTCCTGTTAATGGTATTATTATGGTCCTGTTAATGGCATTATTGTGGTCCTGTTAATGGCATTATTGTGGTCCTGTTAATGACATTATTATGGTCCTGTTAATGACATTATTATGGTCCTGTTACTGGCACTATTATGGTCCTGTTAATGACATTATTATGGTCCTGTTAATGACATTATTATGGTCCTGTTAATGACATTATTATGGTCCTGTTAATGGCATTATTATGGTCCTGTTAATGACATTATTATGGTCCTGTTACTGGCACTATTAAGGTCCTGTTAATGACACTATTATGGTCCTGTTAATGGCATTATTGTGGTCCTGTTAATGACATTATTATGGTCCTGTTAATGGCATTATTAAGGTCCTGTTAATGGCATTATTATGGTCCTGTTAATGACATTATTATGGTCCTGTTAATGACACTATTATGGTCCTGTTAATGGCATTATTGTGGTCCTGTTAATGACATTATTAAGGTCCTGTTAATGGCATTATTAAGGTCCTGTTAATGGCATTATTATGGTCCTGTTAATGACATTATTGTGGTCCTGTTAATGGCATTATTATGGTCCTGTTACTGGCACTATTAAGGTCCTGTTAATGGTATTATTATGGTCCTGTTAATGGCATTATTATGGTCCTGTTAATGGCATTATTATGGTCCTGTTAATGGCATTATTGTGGGCCTGTTAATGACATCATATTTAGATAAACGTACTACAATGCCGTATTAGTGCTTAAATGAAGATGAATGGAAAAAAAATATTTTTAACTGTATTAAAAAAAATAAATTTTCGGATGCAACCTACAGCTTTCCTGAAGGTGCTGTATGCAGTATTCTGCCAATATTGTGTAGAGTATCTTGAGAAATGTCTTCTCAGGTAAATCAGGTATAGCTTTCACCCAAATGCCAAAGCATTCTCTGCTACGTTGTTGGTCCAACAACCGATAACGGAATATGTATTGTTTACCCATCAGTGTTGTGAACGTTTAACGAAGCAAAGGTTTTCGTTTAACATTAATCATACGGATGTGTATGTTGAGGTATGATAACCTTCAAATGGCCACGACTTACACGCATAATACAGTCGGATATATATTTATATATATCCGATATATATTTTCTCTCTCTCTCTCTCTCTTTCTTTCTGTCTGTCTGTCTGTCTCTGTCTCTCTTTCTTTCTCTCTTTCTCTGTCTGTCTGTCTCTCTTTGTCTGTCTGTCTGTCTCTCTCTCTCTCTCTCTCTCTCTCTCTCTCTCTCTCTCTCTCTCTCTCTCTCTCTCTCTCTCTCTCTCTCTCTCTCTCTCTCTCTCTCTCTCCTCTCAATCTCGTAATATACGTACTACTATTAAGGTATAATTAAGTCTTGTTATCATTATTCGTATAAAGTATATCAACTATCACAATAGTAAATGTTTGCAAACAAGTTTTTACTTTAAAAAACGTTTTGTGTTGACTGAGGAGTGACGGAGGGAGCGTTGTGTGACGTCACTTCGTTTGCCTGGACAGCCAAAGGCCAGTACGAACAATTATCATACGTTATATAGTTTACATAAAAGGCCAATTAGCTGCTAAGCACAAAAGTGGAGCCATCTCCATTTTTTCACTCATCTACATATATTTTTATTCACTGTTCTTCATTTTTTTCCTTTCGATAGCATTGTGAATGATATGAACTGGTGTGTGTGATGTTTTGACCAATGAGACGTGTCGTTACAAAGCGCCTAGTCATTCATAATCTAACCCAATACTACGACAACAACAAAAGCGGCGTTGCCATTTTGCACTTTTCAAGAAACTGGGTTAGAGGGATTCTTTTCTTCGGCTACCATACAAAAGTTTCAGAAGTAGATATAACAAAGCATTAGCTTGGTCGAGAGCAGTTGTATCAGACCATTGATAGCTAGTGGACTGGGCCCAGGAGCTAGAACGCTCTCTCTTGTAAAAATAAAAGGAGGTAAGTGCCACGAATGATGGCTATTAGTTGAAGTAGAAGTCAAATGATATGGTAGACGAGTAATTACTACGACGAGGCGCCTGCGGGAGCTCAGGAACATAGGCTTGCTCTGAAACCTGTTTGACTTACGAGTGTTTGAGGCTGTGCATTACGTGATAATTGCCTCGCTCTAAATTCTGAAATTAACGTTAAATCTGTAGATTAAACTCAATCAAAGTGATCGTACAACAATTACGATTCACTAAGCTGCCTTTTGCCATTGATCTATTGTCCTAAATACTTCATAATTTAATTAATTTAATAAAAGCGTATGAGAGGAGATGGAGGTCAGGTGACCTGTGTGAGACCTTGTGTTGGGGTATATAAAGGTTGTGGCCAGCCTGGCTACTCACTCCTTCCTCCTCCTCCTCCACGATCCTACAACACTCTCCAACATGAATATCGTAAGCCTCATATCTTGTGTTTCCAAGGAATATACACAGAGGTATACTCAGTTTCTCGGTGTATACACTGCAAGTTTACTGTAGTTCTGGAGTATATGCAGACGAGAAGTCACAGTAACGTGGCTGAAGTATGTTGACCAATCCACACGATAGAAAATGAAGGGACGACGACGTTTCAGTCCGTCCTGGACCTTTCTCAAGTCGATTGTCGACTTAAGTCGACTTGAGAATGGTCCAGGACGGACCGAAACGTCGTCGTCCCTTCATTTTCTAGTGTGTCGATTGGTCAACATACTTCTGGGGTATATTCAGGGGGTAAAACTTGCTTGCTGGATGGTTAGTAATATATTGTGTGGTGGTCATAATAATTCTCCCCAAATTGATAGGCCTAAAGCCCAACATCCAATCTCGTTATTGATGCAAACTTTCGTTGGTAATTTTTCTGGTAGTTTTAATCTATTACGGTAAAATCGCTTATTAAATATTGTTTGCATAAAGTTTATTAATTTTTCTAATGCCCTTTACAAAGTAATTACTTCGAAGCTTTGAATAAATTACGCCCTGGTAACCATTTCTAAGCTGTTTGGCTGACAAGTGTAATTAGAAATTTTATGTTTCCATCAATTAAATTTTTTTTCGATGAAACGGTTACTTTTTCCTCATTATTGCATGTTGCAAACACTTGAAAGTTGCAGCAGAACATACCATTGGGTTCTTTTTCGACTCAAAATCGGGGGATGAATGGTTCGATTCCCGCGTTGGACAGAGATGATTTGGGACGTTTCCTTTCACCTAATGCTTCTCTTCACCTTGTCTTACTTGAACCTTAGTGGGATCCCGATAAATGCCTTAATAATATATATATATATATATATATATATATATATATATATATATATATATATATATATATATATATATATTATTCGCTGACAAAACGTCGAATTATACAATGTCAAGTATAACATTATATACGCATTGTTAAAATGACAATTCGACACTGTTGCACTGTATAGACGGTTCTCGTGCGAATATATCAAGCATCAGAACTCAGAAGCATCTGCTTGACAATATAGTAAGAGTGATTGGCGGCGGGCAAGCTTGCGGGCAAGTAGAATAGTATGGTTGTGTGTCGTGAAAGATCAGTAGGGTAATGTGACTAACATTTCAGCTGTTGTTAGCCGTGCTCCTTCCCGCCTGCCTGGCCGACAAGCCCTCCAGCAGTCATGGTCATTCCTTCTTCCGACTGCCGTCTCACTCTGGCGAGTCTAGCGAGGAGACCTTCATCCGACGACCTGTCTTCTCACCCCGCCCTCCGCTCCGTCCGGTCTCCGCCCCGCGTCAAGCCCCAAGGTCCACTTTCCCTGCTCCAAGGCTTTCACCCCAATCTCCCTTCGCCCCACGCCCAGCAGCCCAATCCAGCTTCTCCGCCCCACGCCCAGCAGCCCAATCCAGCTTCTCCGCCCCACGCCCAGCACCCCGGCCCAGCGCCTCCCCACGCTCATCACCACAGCCCAGCTACTCTGCCCCTCAGCCATCCTACCAGCCCTCGGGGCCCGTCGTCCCCATCCTGGTTGACGAGCGCGTCCATCCCGACGGCGGAGCTTACAGCTTCCTGATTGAGACTGGCGATGGCCTCAAGTGGCAGGAAACTGGAAGACCTATTCCTGGCGAAGAAGGACCCGTCAGCGCCGCCTCCGGCTCATATTCGTAAGTTACAGCGACCTAAACATCACAGATTTGCAAATTGTTGTCATATCAATATTCTTACATATTCCTAAGATAATAATTTATTATTAATGTCGTGATTGTTAACGTTATATTCCAGCTTCACCCTCCCCGACGGCCAAGTGTTCCAGCTTAGTTATGTGGCCGATGAGAACGGGTTCCAGCCCGAGTCCCCATTCCTGCCTGTGGCGCCCGAGTTCCCCCACCCCATCCCCGCCCACGCCCTCGAGCAGATCGAGCGTGGGCGTCTGGAACACGAGGCTCGCGCCCGCGGTGAGCTGCGTCAGGCACCAGCCAGGGGCTATGGCGCCCCTCCACAATAATTCTGAGCCCTCCAGATGAACCTCTTATTGAAACATTAACTTTAAGGGAAAGCTATTTATTGCGGTTATTTATTTGGAAAATATAATATAAAAATATACTGAATGAACTTTTGCTTTCTTTATTATATTGTTAACCTTTAGCCTGCTAGCAACGTTTATAGGCATTCTGTGGTTGTTAAACCCTCATTGTTGATCAGACTTATTCAGAGGGAGAGAGAGACAATGAGTAACATCTAGTTCTAAAGGACTATTGTAGCCCACAAAACAATATGTCTCCATTTATAATAACCTCAGAAGAAGGGGTTATGCAAGAAAAACACTTCCATTGAATAGATTTGTTTAAAGTGTAATATAAATGATATCACTGTATAAACTAAAGACCACAAAACACGTTGCACAATAACATTCAAAATTATGTTTTTACAATTATTAGAGCACATGTGACTGACAACATGTGATGTTAGGTGAACTCAGATGTCAGTCACATACATCACAGTTTGGATTACATCAGCCATACCTTGTTAGAAGGCAACACTTCTGCCACCATGACAGATGACGCAAGTTGTCAGCCCACTCGGCTCACAACCGAATGGTTCTGGGTTCGATTCTCTTGCTGGAGAAGAGGTTTGAGCAGGTTTTCTTACACCTAATGCGACTATTTACATAGTTGAAAATAAGAACCCGGGAGTTAGGCGACTGCTGTAAGTTATATCCTGGGAAAGATCTGTCGCTGACCAAGCCTCGTTAAGACCACGATAGTGTAACAGGCTTCTTGTCCCCAACACTGGCATTAACCACACCTACACCCCTACAAGAAGCCACTCATACACTTCCCCCTCGCTCCTGTGCCAGGTAAGTCCACTACGGGCTCACCATAGCCCGTGCTACTTGGAACTTATTGTTCCCAGTAGCTGAATCTTAAACAACAACACCTTCCCACTCTCAATCCATCACTTAAGTCCTTAGCCCCCCAGGCGGGGTGGAGTGTGCGACCCACTCACAACACACTTCAGATATTGACTTGGAAAATGTATATTCTGACGAGAAATTTGCATTCTGGGGGTTCCCAATGTTTTCTTATTCAACTTCTTCAGAAGTCAGAGGGGCTTCTACCCCTCTGACTTGGTTAGAAGGGAAGAACCCTCTCGCGTCTTGGTTTAATCGGAAGAGGATTTCTCTATATGTCATATTTGTTCAAGGTTGACTGAAAGAACAAAAATATTAACTGTATAATGTATTATACTTTTTTATAATTTACACAACATTTCGAACTTACAAAGTTCATTCTCAGTTGAGGAGGAACAAGATATTGATTGATTATGATTAAGCCAATCAGGAGGTGGCACGGGCATGAATAGCCCGTAAGTGGTAGGTTTTATTTTTTATTTTTAGTGAATGTATACTGTGTGCTGAGGTCGCATTTAAATCGTCAGGCTGCTATCGTGGGGGTGGGGGGGATACTGCTTGACACTGTTTATGAGGGTCTCCAGCTGCTGGACACCTTTTTTTGACCAGAAGAGTGGCAGTGTTGATGGCTTCATTGTGGCCACTGCAAGAGTCAGGGACTCTTAAAGCTCTTCTAAGGTCGTTGGTTACTTGATAATCCAGGAGATAGTGAAGTAGTGGCTTTTCTGTGATTGTTTGACAGAAGATGCATTCCCACTGTCTGGGTTCACCAATCTCCCAGTTGCATCTGTAACCCAGACGTAGTCTACATAACCGAACTGAACAACACACAGAAATCAATTCAACGTGTTTAATTGCGTGATGCATCAAATGAACAAATCCACAAGGGTGGATTCCTTTAGCTCAGTCTATTAAGGCAGCGTCTGGGATGCTCTCGGACGCAGGTTCGAATCCTCGTCACGGCCCTTGTGGATTTGCTCGAACTGAATAAGATATGAGGGAACATCTGTTTTATAACATTGGGAGATCAGGTACATAAATAATTAAGTCAGGAGAAAGGTGAAAGAAAAGAAGTAGAGGTAAAGTGAGGTGACGGGTCAATAAACTATGCATACAAAGATAAGTCAGGCACAGTTAAAGCCACCATTTGGTCACCACTTGGTCCGGGAGACATCTCCCGTCACGCAGGGTGCAGTTGCGCCTCCACAGATCTCCAGTATCATCTTTTGATAATGGTAATGGCTCGAAAGGGCCACCACTTACGGGCTATTCATGCCCGTGCCACCTCTTGGGTGGCTTAATCTTCATCAATCAATCAGTTAAAGCCTCGCTCCTGTGATAGGTAAGTCCACTACGGGCTCACCATAGTCCGTGCTACTTGGAACTTTTTGTTCCTAGAAGCTGAATCTTAAACAACAAACAACGATAAGTGAAGTGATTGTGGAATTAGAGCTTAGGTGACCGTAGTGGGCAGGGAGTTTTGGGCAGTGACGTCATCGTGGGCAATTTCTCGTTTCGGTCTTGTTCTCACTCTCAAGGCGGAGAGCGAATAGTTCCGTTATTTGAGTATTGATGGCGGGTTGTTCGACTTTTATGTGAAGAGCTTCAAAAATGTGTAATCTTCTTACGTCTTGGGCTTTAATCTAATATACAAGTGTAACACTTGCAAGAGTCTGATAAGTTCAAGTATCAGATAAGTCACCTGACTTATTTTTCTGTGCATAGTTTCTTGACTCAATACCTCCCTCTACCTCTGCTCTTTTTCTTTCGACTTTCTCCTGACTTCATTATTTACGTAACCGACCTCGGCGAGTTATAACTCAGATGTTCTCTCATATCTTGTTCCTCCTCAATTGAGAATGAACCTTATGGGTTCGAAATGTTGTGTAAATTATACAAAGTATAATACATTTTACAGGTCATTTTTTTGTTCTTTTAGTCAACCTTGAACAAAGATGATATTTGAAATCCTCTCCATATATATATATATATATATATATATATATATATATATAAAAACCTTGGCGCCTTAAAACCAGCTGCTCCGGGTAGATGGGACTCGATAGCCTGGGAAGGCAGCCCATCTAGGGGAAGGAAAACCCTGATTTTAAACCTCCGCTGCCTTGCGGCCATACCCTTGTTTTTGGGAAGGCTTCAGGAGTCAACCTCGAGGAAAAATCCGGAGTTGGAGCCCCTAAGGCAGTTCGTTGTTGACGTCGACCTCGTTCTGGCAGCTCCTGCGACGTTGCTGGAACCATGCGTATTGGCATTTGCCTCTCTATTGGATAATTTCAGCAACGTGGAGAGGGGGGACCTGCTGCATGGGTAACAGCTTCTCCTCCATATCTACCTACCCAGGCTTTGCGCCCTGGAGAGGACACTCCAGCTTCGCCTCACAGCGTCGAACCAACACGGGAAGCGACAGTCTACCGGTTTTAAGTCTTCTGCTCGATTGGCGAAGAGTGTGACGCCAGGGGTTGCTTCCGACGGTGGGAGGGGTCATCGCGCCCCACTGGGCAGCTACCGCCCGCCTCAAGCTGGGCAAACCCCAGCCAATAAGGTGTTGCCTCGCCACGGTCCGTTAACCTCACTGGGTGCGTGGGGTTTAGGGTGAAAACTGACAAGCGGCCCGACAACTTTGCACCAAGCAATACCTTTTTTCATTTTTACATGGTGTGGGATTTGCCGTCAGGAATGCACTGTTGGGACACATTATGCCACCGATGGGGGAAACCGAACGAATTCTGTCTCTGCAACTGTACTCCCAAACAGGACCAGTCAATGTAATTAGTGCATATGCACCAACCCTGACTTCTCCAGCAGAGGCAAAGGAAAAATTCTACGATGACCTCAACAGAGTCATAGCGAGAATCCCTGTAAAGGAGCCACTGTTCATCCTCGGCGACTTCAACGCCAGAGTGGGTGCCGAGCACAACATTTGGCCCACTTGCCTGGGTCAATTCGGCATAGGAAGGATGAATGAGAACGGGCAACGTCTGCTAGAACTCTGCTGCCTTCATGGTCTTTGTGTCACCAACACGTTCTTCGGCACAAAGCCTCAACACCGAGTATCTTGGAGACACCCCAGATCCAAGCACTGGCACCAGCTTGACCTGATTCTTACCAGGCGTGCAAGTCTACCCAGCGTCAAGATTACGCGTAGCTACCAGAGTGCTGTCTGTGACACCGACCACTCCCTGGTATGTAGCAGGGTCAAGATGCAACCAAAGAAGATTCATCACTCGAAAAAGGCGGGCAGACCTCGCATCGACACCACCAAGACCCGCAACCAGGACAAGGTGGAAGATTTTGCGCACGTGCTCGAGGAAGCTCTTCCTGGCCCAGCTGGGGTCACTGCCTGTAAAAGATGGGAGCACTTCAGAGACGCTGTGTTCAACGCTGCCATTTCCACCTTTGGCAAGAAGACCAGCAGGTCGGCAGACTGGTTCGAGGCTCACTCGGAAGAGATGACACCTGTAATCGAAGAGAAGAGAAACGCCTTGGCAGCCTACAAAGCCTGCCCAAGTCGGCGCAACTTACAGATCCTTCGGGCCGTCCGCTGCAAAGTGCAGCAGAGCGCCAGGCGATGTGCCAACAACTATTGGCTCCAGCTCTGCTCCCAGATACAGACTGCAGCGGATACAGGCAATGTAAGGGGAATGTATGACGGCATCAAGCAGGCCCTCGGCCCAATCCAGAAGAAGACCGCTCCTCTGAAATCTGCCACTGGCGAGGTGATTCAGGACCAGACACTGCAGCTGAAGCGCTGGGTCGAGCACTACTCTGAGCTATACGCCAGGGACAATGTGGTCACCGAAGATGCCCTGAGCGCCATTGAGTGTCTGCCTGTGTTAATGGAGCTCGACAGTGAACCGACCCTGGAAGAACTCAGCGATGCCCTAGACTCCCTTGCTTCTGGTAAAGCTCCCGGCAAAGATGGCATTCCTGCTGAGACCTTGAAGTGCTGCAGAGGTAGCCTGCTCATGGAGCTGCACGAAATTCTCTGCCTCTGCTGGGAAGAAGGAGAGGTGCCACAGGACATGAGGGATGCCAACATCGTCACACTGTATAAGAATAAAGGTGACAGGGGCGACTGCAACAACTACCGTGGAATCTCCCTCCTCAGTATTGTCGGAAAGCTGTTTGCTCGAGTCGCATTGAAGAGGCTCCAAGTACTTGCAGAGAGAGTTTATCCAGAATCACAATGTGGATTCAGAGCTGGCAGGTCCACCATCGACATGGTCTTTTCCCTCAGACAACTGCAGGAGAAATGCAGGGAACAGAAGCAGCCACTCTTTGTAGCCTTCATAGACCTGACGAAGGCCTTCGACCTCGTCAGCAGGGATGGCCTGTTCAAGATCCTCCCCAAGATCGGATGCCCACCCAGGCTCCTCAGCATCATCAGATCTTTCCATGAGAACATGAGGGGCACCGTGGTCTTTGATGGCCTAACATCAGGCGCCTTTGACATCCGAAGTGGAGTAAAGCAGGGCTGCGTACTGGCTCCAACCCTATTCGGAATTTTCTTCGCAGTTATGCTGCGGCACGCCTTCGGATCTGTCACGGAAGGCATTTACCTCCGGACCAGGTCGGATGGGAAGCTCTTTAACCTCGCCAGGCTGAGAGCCAAGACAAAGGTTCGGCTGAGGTGTCTGCGCGACTTCCTCTTTGCCGACGACGCAGCAGTCACTGCCCACTCAGCTGAAGACCTCCAACGGCTCATAACCCGCTTCAGCGAGGCCTCTCAGGCTTTCGGACTCACCATCAGTCTGAAGAAAACACAAGTCATGGGACAAGGAGTGGACTCCCCACCTGACATCGGCATCTCTGATTCCAAACTGGAAGTTGTTCACGACTTCGTGTACCTGGGCTCCACAATCTCTGACTCCCTCTCTCTTGATACGGAGCTAAACAAACGCATCGGTAAGGCATCTACTACCATGTCCAAACTGACAAAGAGAGTGTGGGCCAACAATAGGCTAACTGAGTATACTAAGATTCAGGTTTACAGATCCTGTGTCCTGAGCACTCTCCTTTATGGCAGTGAGTCTTGGACACTCCGCGCCCGTCAGGAAAGACGGCTGAATGCCTACCACATGCGCTGCCTTCGACACATCTTGGACATCACCTGGCAGGACAAGGTGACAAACAACAACGTCTTGGGGAGAGCAAGAATCACCAGCATGTACACAATGCTGAAACAGAGACGAATGCGCTGGCTCGGGCACGTTGTGCGAATGGGCGACGGCAGGATCCCCAAGGATCTCCTGTATGGAGAGCTGAGGCAGGGAAAGCGTCCAGTAGGCAAGCCCCAGCTACGGTACAAAGACGTATGCAAAAGGGACCTGAAAGCCATGGACGTCGATCTTGCTATATGGGAGACACTGGCTACAGACCGTTCAGCCTGGAGGCAGTCTGTTCAACGAGGTCTCTCCAAGTTCGAGGAGTCACTTGCCAAGGAATCGGAGGCAAAGAGACAGAGAAGGAAAGCCGGTAACCAGGAAGACAGACCAGAATCGGACTTCGTTTGTGCTCGGTGTGGGATGGACTGCCACTCTCGGATTGGCCTCATCAGTCACACCAGACGCTGCACCAGGATTGACAACTAGGGCGCAACTCCATAGTCTCCCGAGACTGAAGGATGCCTACTACTATATATATATATATATATATATATATATATATATATATATATATATATATATATATATATATATGTCGTACCTAGTAGCCAGAACGCACTTCTCAGCCTACTATGCAAGGCCCGATTTGCCTAATAAGCCAAGTTTTCATGAATTAATTGTTTTTCGACTACCTAACCTACCTAACCTAGCCTAACCTAACTTTTTCGGCTACCTAACCTAATCTAACCTATAAAGATAGGTTAGGTTAGGTTAGGTAGGGTTAGTTAGGTTCGTTCATATATCTACGTTAATTTTAATTCCAATAAAAATTTTTTTACCTCATACATAATGAAATGGGTAACTTTATCATTTCGTAAGAAAAAAAATTGAGAAAATATATTAATTCATGAAAACTTGGCTTATTAGGCAAATCGGGCCTTGCATAGTAGGCTGAGAAGTGCGTTCTGGCTACTAGGTACGACATATATATATATATATATATATATATATATATATATATATATATATATATATATATATATATATATATATAACCAGATATAATTTTGATTCATAATTTTATGATAAGTATATTCTGATTATACCTTTGACAGTGATGCAAATATGTGCCTGCCATGTTTTGTGCAACACTGACTATACACCTGCTGCCGGTACTGAAGAGAGGTTGTGACAGCCCCAACACTCACACACACACACACCTCGTTGCTGGCACGTCATCATGAATCATACTTACCTGTAATAAGAGCCTAGTGATAGCTATCGTAAAATTAAATTTTGTATTATCATATGAAAGTTCAGGATGTTCTTGCAACACAAGTGAGAGAAATGCACGAATCAATAATTGAGCACCGCCCTTGCAACACAGATTATTAGCCGGTTTATTGGGCTCAAGATTATTGTTAAAATGTAAAGAGGGCTATTATCTGCGACTACTTATCCTCGTACCCAACTCTAAACAGCTTAATCAAATTGTAACGTGTTTGACTCAGAAGCCAAACGGAGTTTTACGCAATAAGAAAGAGGTTTAGAGTCGAGCTGTTGTCACACATTGGTGAGCAGGGGACATGATCATGTCGTCTCCGATACAGAGATTGTTATTGCTCATATACACGCGAGGAGACGTTGTTAGGAGTTTGTTGTTGTTTATGATTCAACTCCTCGGAACAAGAAGTTGCAAGTAGCACGGGCTATGGTGAGCCCGAAGTGGACTTACCTGGCACAGGAGAGGGACTTTGTTAAGAATATTGTCATGGAGGGAGGGAACTATTAGGGAAAAGCGCCAAGCCATTACAACTATATATCACTTGGAGGGAGTCAGTATAAGGATTTGGGATGGGACGAGGGGAAGGAATGGTATCCAACTACTTGGATGGTCGGGGATTGAACGCCGACCTGCATGAAGCGAGACCGTCGCTCTACCGTCCAGTCCAAGTGGTTGGGCGTATTGTCACGGAGCTAACGTGAACACTGTTAAGTAACAGCTGCTTGGACAACACTTGGACTTAAGTGACACAGTAACAATTTTAGTAACTCTATCAAATATGCCAAATGTTTATACAATGTTAAAGGAAAAACGAAAGTTTATAACATTTTCATTAAAGTACAACAAGATAAATATAACAAAGGGCATTTAAATGACTCCACGTGGATATAAAACATTATATAAAACAATTTTTCCAAATAATTTTGTTATTATAAATTTTTGTGTATAGTTAGTCCTAAGTCAGATTAAGTCAGGTATTTTGCTGCTGTTGTATCATTGTATTTACATCACAACACTGAGGAAAACACTGTTTATGAAAACTTTGAACATAGTCAGTTGTATAGTCAGGTGTTGAATGTGTCTGACTCGTGACCAGGGAAAATGGCTGCCTGAGAGGAGGTTCAGGCTTAGACACCGTAGTTGTGGGCTGGTGTCTGACGGAGCTGTCGCGCCTCGTGTTCCAGACGCCCACGTTCGATCTGCTCGAGGGCGTGGGCGGGGATGGGGTGGGGGAAGGCGGGCGCCACAGGCAGGAATTGGGACTCGGGCTGGAACCCGTTCTCATCGGCCACATAACTGAGCTGGAACACTTGGCCGTCGGGAAGCGTGAAGCTGTGAACAAGAATCAGTAACAAGTGAGGAACAATGTTTTGAGGTAAACTGAAGCAAATTTGTATGACACAGAACAAATCCACAAGGACCTTGACGAGGATTCGAACCTGCGTCCGGGAGCATCCCAGACACTGCCTTAATCGACTGAGCTACGACAGGGTTAAAAGGGTTGAAACCGAAGTTCTACTGAACTTACTGGATCCCGTAGCCTCCTTTTAACCTTGTCGTAGCTCAGTCGATTAAGGCAGTGTCTGGGATGCTCCCGGACGCAGGTTCGAATCCTCGTCACGGCCCTTGTGGATTTGTTCATTTGATGCATCACGTTAGTGTGATCTCTGTGTGTGTTGTATGACACAGGTTTATGTTGAGTGGATGTTGATGTATATGTCGAGTTAACAGATGACAGGACTCACGAGTATGATCCTGAGACGGCGGTGATGGGTCCATCTTCGCTGTAGACAGATTTCCCGCTCTCCTGTCTCTTTACACCGTCAACTGTCTCGCTTGTGAAGCTGTAAGTGCCAGCCTCCGGATGAATACGATGGTCCACTAGGATGGGATGAATGGTGCTCGGGCTGGAGGTGGGCTGAGTGGGTTGTGAAGCTGGCCGTGGTACTGTGTAGGTGGGCTGAGGAGGCAATTTTGCAAAGAGTAATGAAGAGCTTGGTGCGGAGGGAGTGGGTCGTGAGGCATGTCGTGACGCAGAGAGCGCGGGTCGCGACGCAGGTGGTGACGCAGAGAGCGTGGGTCGCGACGCAGGCGGTGACGCAGAAAGGGTGGGTCGTGAGGCAAGTCGTGACGCAGAGAGCGTGGGTCGCGACGCAGGCGGTGACGCAGAGAGGGGCGGCTGTAGTGGTGCAGGGCGCGGTGGAGAAGGTCGTGATCTTGAGTCCAAATGAGGAATCGGTTGAGGAATATAATATCCGGATCGGATGAGGGGCCGGTGAGCCCAGCTGGCGTAGAGAAGAGCAGTCAACACCAGTACCAGCTGCGGACACCCAATATATATATATATATATATATATATATATATATATATATATATATATATATATATATATATATATATATATATATATATATAAATGATCAACAAATCTAATCTGTGTACGAACCAACTCATCCCGAGAGCCCCGCTCAGGTCTGGTTGGTGTCTGGCCCGTCAACACTCCCAGGGGTCCTTGAGGGGAGGTGTTCTTGGCCGGGGTAAGGGGTAGGGGAGGTGTTCTTGGCAGGGGTAAGGGGTAGGGGAGGTGTTCTTGGTGGGGGTGGGAGGGTAGGGGGGGGGGAGGTTGAATACTAGCAAAATCGGGGGGGGGGGGCATTTTGTTAGTATTTAACAGGTAATTATCTAGAGAAAACGCCAAGCAAGTACGACTATATAGCACTGGGAAGGGGTCAGGATAAGGATTTGGGATGGGACGGTGGGAGAGAAGGAATGGTGCCCAACCACTTGGACGGTCGGGGATTGAACGCCGACCTGCATGAAGCGAGACCGTCGCTCTACCGTCCAGCCCAAGTGGTTGGGCTGACGTTATTTGAGGAGAAAGTAGACATGATAGACATAAAAATGCTTTTAAAACACAAAGTGGAAAAAAAGAGATATTAAAAATAAATATTAATAGAACAAAAAGGACATGGCAGAAAGCTTATGAATCATAGAGATGTTATCTTGAGATGATTTCGGGGCTTTAGTGTCCCCGCGGCCCGGTCCTCGACCAGGCCTCCACCCCCAGGAAGCAGCCCGTGACAGCTGACTAACACCCAGGTACCTATTTTACTGCTAGGTAACAGGGGCATAGGGTGAAAAAAACTCTGCCCATTGTTTCTCGCCGGCGCCCGGGATCGAATCCGGGACCACAGGATCACAAGTCCAGCGTGCTGTCCGCTCGGCCGACCGGCTCCCTCTTCGATGTGGGAAAGTTTTCTTTAACGTAATAGTTGTGGGAAAGGGAGCCATAAGAGCCAGCTATAGAAGCGAATGTCATTCATAACTTCAAAGGTAGAATTAAGACAACCAGCTGCTAAAAAAAAGCCGGGGCCGAAGAGCTGAAGCTCGATCCTGAAGACGCACATTGGGGAGTACAACTTACTCATAATATTAATTGATAATATAAAATCTGCGCAGAATGAAGCAGAAAATCTTACACGGTTCATGACTGGGCGAGATGGGCGTGCCAGGGGGGGGCGGAGGTGGGCGTGCCGGGGGGGGGAGGTGGGGGTGACAGAAGGGAGGTGCTGGAGCGACAGGTGACGGGGCTCGGCGTGACAGGAGGAGGGTGTGAGTGCGACAGGTGGGCGGGGGTGGGCGCGAGTGGCAAGAAACACCTGGCCCACCTGTATATATACGTGGCCACGCCCACTGTCACGGCGGCACTCCTCCTCCAGCTGCTGGTGGTGCTAATGACACGGTCCTCACCCCTGGTAGTCCTCACCCCTGTTGGCACCCATGGTGGTCCTCACCCCTGGTAGTCCTCACCCCTGGTAGTCCTCACCCCTGGTGGCACCCATGGTGGTCCTCACCCCTGGTAGTCCTCACCCCTGGTAGTCCTCACCCCTGGTGGCACCCATGGTGGTCCTCACCCCTGGTAGTCCTCACCCCTGGTAGTCCTCACCCCTGGTGGCACCCATGGTGGTCCTCACCCCTGGTAGTCCTCACCCCTGGTAGTCCTCACCCCTGGTGGCACCCATGGTGGTCCTCACCCCTGGTAGTCCTCACTCCTGGTGGTCCTCACCCCTGGTGGTCCCTGGTGGCCCCCACCCCTGGTGGCCTACCTGGTGGCCCTCACCCCTGGTGGCCCACCTGGTGGCCCTCACCCCTGGTGGCCCACCTGGTGGCCCTATAAGTCTATACGACATTATGTGATAGTTAATGGGGGGAAATTAACATAAATATACGAAGAAAAACATTAATGTTTACGATAAATAAACGAAGCACTTGAAGGTCAGCCATTGTTAAACTGTGGCTATGTGGTTCCTCCGCTCTATTATACTTACACGCTTAACTCCTCATGAAGGATATCATCAAACTCTTCACGGGATAAATGGTAAAATACAGCTGTAGCCACTGACCTCACCAGTACAGGAATCACACATGTATGAACGTTGTTCTGTATCGGGGGTGGGAAAATACGTGTCATACTGTTTTTTTTTTTATTTATTTATTGTGTACCACAGACGTGGCCACACATTTACAATGCTAACCAGCATATATACATTTTCTTCTGTCCTCCATGGACAGGGTTAGAGAAGTGTTAAACATATAGTTCAAGTGTCATACTGTCTTGACCCGTCAGCAAGGTGTCCCTGCAAGGTCGCAATTGGTCATTAAGTAACGCCTTGTTAGACGGTTATTGCATGCAAGGGCATCGACGTTAGTTCTTCAAGGGAAAATTGTTTTGATTTGATTAAATAAATAAATTATTGATAATTTATAAATATAATAAATAAATTATTGATAAATAAATTATTTGATTAAAAATAAATTATTTTGTCGTCACAGGTGGATTAATATTCACACATGAATGGGAAGTTTGGAGTTTTTTCTGAAGTTATACTTAACGTGGGTTACTGAAGGCAGTAGAATAGCTGAAGTAATGTATAATGGTCAGCATGCTTGTGTCTTGGCTAGAATGATGAAGGCGTGTGTGTGCAGGCGACGAGTCACAATAACGTGGCTGAAATATGTTGACCAGACCACACACTCGAAGGTGAAGGGACGACGACGTTCTGGTCCGTCCTGGACCATTTTCAAGTCGATTGTGAGAATGGTCCAGGACGGACCGAAACGTCGTCGTCCCTTCACCTTCGAGTGTGTGGTCTGGTCAACATATTTCAGCCACGTTATTGTGACTCCTCGCCTGCATATGGATAATTACTGTGCTCAGACATCTCAAAACTTCCAGCTTCGACGCCCGGATCTCTCAGGCAGGTACGACCAACATTTTATCTTAAGATGAGGTTAAGATTTTATCACTCTTTACCTAGTATAAAGTATTCTCCTTCCCGACGTCACCTATATTAACGACATCACCCTTGAGAAAGTTATGTTGCGTTGGCTTGTAACGTCTTGCGTAACTACCGTTCTTGTAACAAGCGGACCAATTACTTGCGTAAACAATGTGGTGATTAAAGGTAAAAGCTGAATGCTTTTCCGGTTGTTGGGAAAAGATCATTACGTGATATAATGAGGCTGGTTCGGAGGAGATGAAGGAGGTGGTGATTGTGTGTTAAGAAGGAATTGATTGAGGATATGTGTAAGTGTGTGTGTGTGTGTGTGTGTGTGTGTGTGTGTGTATTTACTATTTGTGTTTGCCGAATCGAGGTATTAGCTATTAGGAGAAGAAGAGTAAGAGGAAGGACGGAGAAAGAGAATAAACTAAGAACCGAACATCAAACTATTCTGATACTTCTTGCTTGAAATACACCCAATCAAAGGAAAACATTTAGTGCTTCCTTCTCTTGTTCTCTCTCTCATATCTCGAATTACAGGGCACTCTCTGTCTGTCTGTCCCTCTGTCTCTCTGTCTCCAACCCCCAATTCCTTATCCCCCCGCCATAAACAGCGGCAGATGAGCGCTCTCAGCAGAAGAGAGAGAGAGACACAGAGGGTCGCTTAAAACACCATTAACCTCATTTTCTGCTCCGGAAACACAGGCGCAGATGACGCGCACCTCTTCCCCCCCCCCCATCACACACACATTGTCGCGTCTGCTTGTTGTGGTTGGTAATGTGTCCATCACCACCCTCGTCTACCACGCCCAGGGGCTTTCTGTGTGCTCCAGGAGCGTGTTGGTTCAATGTGCAGGTACAAGAAAGCTCAACACAAGACTGGGAAGATAAATCATGCCAAAGGTTCACATATATATGTGCTCAACTAAGCCTAGGGATATTTAAGCTTGGTTTTAGGCTTTATTGTTTACAGACGGTGAAATTAATAGTACAAAAAAGTGGTTTACTGTTGGGCCATCGCTACATATAGGTACGTTCCGGGTAGTAGTTACTGTAAGCACTATCAGGCCAGGAGGACGGTCTGTCTCTGAAATACAGCAGCCAGAGAGTGACAATATGGGACCAGAATTGGACCAGTAATATTCATGTAATCTATGTCAGTGATGTAACTATGGGACGACTCTCTCTCTCACACACACACACACACACACACACACACACACACACACACACACACACACACACACACACACACACACACACACACACACACACACACACACAGGAACTCAGGAACACACAATAGGCTCAGGAACCTGTACAACTGTTGATTGACGGTTGAGAGGCGGGACCAAAGAGCCAAAGCTCAACCCCCGCAAGCACAAATAGGCGAGTACAAATAGGTGAGTAGATACAGTACATTAGACAAGGACAACGGGCAGTCAGACAGGCGGGGCCCAAGAGCTATCAACCGGATCTTACAGGCACAAGTATTAACACAACATTGTAACACTGGACCACGAGCATCACGTCAGGTCAGGTCAGAGGGCAACCCGGGTACACTTTACTAGAACAAATGAGTTCATGAACAACTACACGTGCTGGCATGAACATACACAAACATGTATACTTATACACCTACACAGTTTGGTGTTGTTGTTGTTGTTGTTTTGGATTCAGCAACTCGGAACCAAAAAAGTTGCAAGTAGCACGGACTATGGTGAGCCCGTAGTGGACTTACCTGGCACAGGAGATGTGCTAGTTTAGTATGTGTTCAAGGGTGTGTTCAAGGGTGTGTTCAGGTGTGGGATGGTGTTGATGGATGCGGGGGGGGGGGAAGGAGGGGGCACCTTCATATCTCTCAACAGTGCTGAAGAAAACCTGACCTGTCTGGGTCACCTGACCTTTGTTTTGCACCAGGAACTGGACGAGCTGGTCTGTGTGTGTGTGTGTGTGTGTGTGTGTGTGTGTGTGTGTGTGTGTGTGTGTGTGTGTGTGTGTGTGTGCGCGTGTGTGCGCTCGCGCGTGTGTGTCTGTGTGTGTGTGCACTCACCTATTTGTGCCTGCAGGATCGAGCTGTTAGCTCTTGGACCTCGCCTTTCAAGCCACTGTTTGTTTAATGCAATGACACCTGACCCGTATCCCTATTATATCTAATTATAAAATGGATTC